CCCCCAGGGCGCGGGCGCCCCCCAGGACCACTTCATCATCCCCCCGATCTTCATCGGCTTCGCAGAGGCCACGGTGTGGCTGAGGGACAACCACGCCTTTGAAGAGGAGGCTCACAAGATCCTGGCCAGGACGGTGGGTCGCCCTGGTCAGGGTTCAAATGTACAGGGTTTAGGGTTTAGAGATTACGTTTTGCCGTTGCCATGGTGTGGCTCAGGGATAACCACGCCTTTGAGAAGATACGGGCCAGGACGGTGGGCTGGCCTGGCCTTATCAGGTTTTAGGGTTTAGGGTTCAGGGTTTAGGGTTTAGGGATCAGCTTTTGCCATGGCCCCGTTGTGGCTCAGGGACAACCAGTGAGCCTCTGGGGAGGAGGCTCACAAGATCCTGGCCAGGACGGTGGGCCGGCTCGGTGAGGGCTCAGGGATCTTTACAGGGTTGGTTGAGGCCGCGTTTTGGCTTAGGGACAACCACTCTTTCAAATAAGAGGCCAAAAACGGCCTGCTGAAGGTTGAGGGTGAAGGGGTCTGACTTGACGGGTTTCGGGACTGCTATGCCCCTGCGCGCGGCAGCCATGGGTGCGTTTAGCCTTCATGACGCACCCGGGGACGCGGCGCGCAGGGAAGTGTCGACCTTCGGAGTTTGGGGTTGATGTGGTGCGGGGCATTCCAGGGTTCCTGCGCCCTGCTGCCCATCCGGCCCGGGCAAAGGCAATGGTCCAGGAGGCTGATGCAGGATGGGGTGCAAAATTTTAATGTTTGTTCCGCCCTGAGGCAGCCGCGGGTGAGGGGAGCGCCAGGGCTCGGCGCCTTCGATGAAGGCGCGGGGCTCCAGATGCCATTCTGATGTATGAGCATTTACTATTTTGGTATATTCAGGGGGTTGATTGTCGAGCGTTCAAAAATGCAGCAGCCAGGCACCTGCGCCGTTGAGGCGGTGGCACCAGGGATTTGGCAAAGGCTGGCGGTTTTGAGCTTATTTGTCGCTGCTTTGCACGATCTTCAGACGTTGCCACGCCTTTCTTCTTGGGGCGTCGGGAGTTTCGTCCGGGCACAGCACCTGAACAGCGTTCCGTGTTCCAGGCGCTGAGCTCGAAGCAAACGGGCGGCCTCTCGACAGGAGCACTGCGAGCGTACAGGACGGCAGCCGACGCAGCGGGCGGCTTGCTTTTGCGGCCCTCTCACAAGACCCCATCTGGGCTCCTCGCCCTCCTTGATTCGTCACCCAACGTCTGTTATACCCCCCACCAAGCCGCCCGTCCAATCGACCGCGCGCATCAACTTCTTCTTGTCTGTCTTGACCACAAGTCTCAATGTCAACCAACCCCCGCCCCCCTCCACCCGGAAACCCGACCGCCCAGGTGTCCGAGGCGATGGCGAAAGACGGCCTAGTCAGCGCGACCCCCTCCACCCCCATGAGCGACGCGGCGCGCCTGATGCTCAAGAACGACGTCAACCTGCTGCCAGTCACAGAGGACGGCAGGGTTGTGGGCATCGTGACGCGCCACGACGTGCTGCGCGGCCTCTACTCGTCGCACTCCCCCTACCTTGAGTAGGCTTTAGGGGCTTAGGTTAGTCTAGGGTTCAAAGGAACCATAGGCGGGCCTGTCCCACTGCTGCTGCCGCTGCTGCTGGCGCTGCTGCTGCTGCTGCTGCTGCTGCTGCTGCTGCTGCTGCCGGCTGCTGCTGCTGCTGCTGCTGCTGCTGCTGCTGCTGCTGCTGCTGCTGCTGCCGGCTGCTGCTGCTGCCGGCGCTCCTGCTGCTGCTGCTGCTGCAGCTGCAGCTGCTGCCGCCGCTGATGTTGCCGCTGCAGATCAAAGGGCGGCAATCGTGACCACGCCCTTTTGGCGGCTGTGTCGGCGAGACCACTGCTGTATGTCTGCAAGGCGGCATCTGTGGCCACCCGTGTGCGCCAACCGGCTTGAGTGATGAGTTGCAGCGGCTGACGCGTTGAGGCCGCCTCACTTGTTGCGGCCGTGGTGTGAGTGAGCACATTCATATCAGGCGTGTAAGCCATCCTCTGATTCGTTGCTGTGACAGTAGGTCACATTTATGACATTTCAACCCGCGGGTGGTCTTGGCAGGCGGCCATGTTCAATGGCGTCCATAGGGCGTGCGCGTGCACACCAATTGGTCGTCCCAACACTGAGGGGCCCTCAAAGGAAGGTTCCTCAGCCGGTGTGCCACTGGGTCGCCTGGGGTGTGCAACTGGGCTGTCAGGGGGGTGAGCTACTGGGCTGTCGTGTGAGCCACTGGTGCTGCATGGGAAAAGCACCCAGCAGCCACGGATATGTTTGCCTGCCTGGCGCAGCTATAATCATAGCATCACGATCTGAAGCGGTATTGCTACACACGTCCAAGGTCTGCCGCCTGGAAGCGGCGCATTCATGAGCCGCGCAGTCAGTGTCGCGCGGGCGCGGCAACAGCAACCAGAATGACAGCGACGCTCCTGCACGGCCAAGCCTTGAAGTGCTCTGCAAAGCGCTGGAGGTACCAGCACAATCAAATATCGTTGTATTTGTTGTTTCAACCTTCCTCATCAACCATGGACCGCCTTCTGGGCGAGATCGCGAGCGCACTGGCAGTACGTCAGCGGAACGCCGCGGCCTTGGAGCGCCTGGACGAGAAGTTGAGAAAACAAGTTAATGAGACCGTCGAGAACATTCGCGAGGGTCTAGACTTCATCAGCCCTGCAGTGTTTGTGCAGGTCATGGACTCGCTGCCTGCGCGTTGCGGCGGCGCGCCAGGGAGTGCCGCCTATAGGAGTGCCAGCACACTGGAGGTGGGCGGCGCCGCACCTCACGGCGCCCCGCGCCCTGATCGGATGCACACATACGAGCAGCCCGTGTGACGGGGATTGAGACATCGCCCAGTCATTGACGGGATTTCATGCCTTGCGAAATCCACATCCAAACCGTCTCCTGGCAGTGTTTCTGGTTGAACCCCTCTCTATGTCAATCGCATAAGACATGCTCCTGAACCGTACTTCCATCACAGGCGTCCGTCATTGACTATCTGCTGATCCCCTCCTCATCAGCCCACGGCAGCCGCGGGTACCACGCCCTCCGCACGCCGGCCTGCGCCGCCGCCGCCGCCGCCGCGGCGGCGCGCGCGGACGCGGCCGCGCGTGCTGTGAGCGCGTACGCCGCCGATGGAGGCGGCCCCCCTGGGTTGATAGGGCGGACGCGCGTGCTGCTGCTCAACCAGGTTGTTTGGGAGACCTTTAACGTCGACGCCCACGCCGCGCTGCCCGCCGCCGCCGCCGTGCTCCAGACGCACGGCGCCCCCGAGGCGCTGCTGCGCGCCGGGCTGCTGCCGCGCGAGCTGGTGGAGCTCCAGGCGCCACCCTTGCATGAGAGGGACCCTCTGTCGCCGTTCCTGAGCCTGGCAAACGTCTTCATCGACGCCGCAGATGATGTTGATGTGGGCCTCCTGCAGCCCGACGCCCACACCCTCATCGCGATCGCCGCGTGGACGGTGTCGCAGCCGCGCTTCGCGCAGCTGTTCGCCGACGTCGTCCGGACGCGCCTCGCGGAGGGCGGGGTGCGCGCGGAACCTGCGGTGCAGCTGGCCGCGCTGCTGCTGGGCTTCGGCGACGCGCCGGACTTGGACGCGCCGCTCGTCGCCGAGTTGCTGGCGTGCGTGCCAGCCGTTCTCCCGCCGCTCGCGGCGCACGCGCAGCACCCAGACACGACGACGGAAACCCAGGCTATAGTGTGGTCTGGCATAGCAGGCCTTCTCGCCCCTGAACGTGGCGCCGCCGTCGCCGCCGCGTGCGGCAGGGATCTCGCAAAGCATGCTCTCGCCTTCCTCAGCCGCGCCGCCCGCCGCACCGCTGTCAACAGCGCTGAGGCTGCAGCAAGCCCTGCTTGCTTGAGGAGGACAAGCATGAGGACGCAGCGCTCATTGCAGCCTCCCGCGCGCTGTGGCATGTTGCGCGTGCGGACTCGGCCACCGTTTACCATGGGCAACTGCGGCCCAGCTGCATTGCCGCGATGCCTGGCGCGGCGGCGGCGCTTGTGGCGGTGGCGCGCGCGTGGCTTGCGGCGGCGCGGGGGACAGGCGCCGTCCGCATGGCGAGCGCCTACAGCAAGGGGCGCACAGACATGACCTACTCGTATGTGTGTGCCACGATGGCGCTGGTTGCTGAAACGGAAGACATGATTTGCAAAAGGAGTGGCAGCGGCGGCGGAAGTGGGGCAGGACGAGGCGCTGGCGGCGGCGACGGCGAGGGCGGCGCATGGCTGGGCGCGCTGCGGCGCTTCGGCGCGCCGCCGCTGCTGGCGAGTGCGCTGGTTCTTCCCTTGCTTGACGGCCAAAACATCGCCGACGTCGCGTTTGCACTCGCAGTGCTGCTTTACGGTAGCGAGCGCGGGCAGCATCCGTCGGCGTGGGAGGAGGCCAGCGTGGCGGCCGGCACGGATGAGTCGGGCCTGCGGTGGCGCATCTGGACGGCGCTTGTGTACGCACCATTCTGCCAAGGTGTCTGCTTGATCGGCCGGCTGTGCAGGCTCAGTTCGAGCTGCAGGGGAGACCTGGCCGCCGCGCCCTTGGCGCTTTCGTTCGCCGCCCAGAGCACTTACACGTGCTCAGAGGGAGACATCGCAGCGACAGCCGCGGACATCCTGTGGGACGTCGAGGCGTGGGCGGCGAGGGAGTGGGCAGATTGCTGCGTCGGCGGCGGCGGCGGCGGCGGCGGCGGCGGCGGCGGCAATAACTTTGGCTGCGGCCGCGACGGCGGGCGCGGGCAGTGCGTTGAAAGGGCCCGCGCGGAGAGCAGTCAGTGCAGCGACCTCGCTCAGTGCACCCCGCAGGGAGGGCAAACGGCAGCTGCGCAAGGGGCTCACGTTGTCCGTGCAGAGCAGGCGCTGCAGTCCCTGCTGCATTGGGCCTCGCAGGGTGCTCGCGCAGAGGGGGTGGCAGCGCGTGCGGCGCTGGTTGAGAAGGAGGCGCGAGACGCGCTGGCGCACCTGCATTCTAGGCGTCAGATGCTGAGCCTGACGGTTGAGGAGGCGAGGCTGGCGCAGCAGCAGCAGGAAAAGCAGCAGCAGCAGCAACCGCCGCCGCAGCAGCAGCAGCAGCAGCAGCAGCAGCAGCAGCAACAGCAGCAACAGCAGCAGCAGCTACCAGTGCAGGAGCAATCTGAGCAGGCGCAGCAGCAGCAGCAGCAGCAGCAGCAGCAGCAGCAGCAGCAGCAGCAGCAGCAGCAGCAGCGGCGGCGGCAGCAGCAGCAGCAGGTGGTCGATCAACGCCAGCGGGGAGTTTCAGGACCTCCCACAGCAATAGCAGCAGTGCAGCCAAGCCAGCTGCACGGCGGCAGCGTCGCGGGCGGCCGGCAGTACGCTGTGTGTGCAGCGTGCAGCACGGCGGAGGGCGCCGCGGGGGCGCGGCTGCACCTGTGCCGCGGCTGCCGTCTGGCGTGGTTCTGCTCTGACGCGTGCTACAAGGGCCACTGGCCGGCGCACAAAGCCGCTTGCCGTGAGGAGCAGGCGCGGCGTGCGGGGCAGGCGGCTGCAAAGGTGGAGCGTGATTAGCGTGCTGCCAACAGCTCTCTAATTAAGAGGTTGTTTGCTAGCACGCCTTTTGTTGTTAGCAGCGACTTCCATATGATTCAACATCTTGTGACCTCCTCTAGACAGCCCTTGATTCCTTTCCAGCAGCCGGGCGTACGCACTGCCATCCCTCCAGCACAATCCTAATCCTAATCCTAATCCCTCCAGCATCGACGCAAACACGATTTTGAAAGATTGGAATCTCCGCAGCTGCTGCCGCTGCCGCTGCCACTGCCACTGCCGCTGCTGCCAGCGCCGCCCACGCCACCGCCGCTGCTGCCCCCGCCGCCGCTACTGCTGCAGATCACAGGGCGGCGGTGATCCCACGCTTTTGCGGCTAAGCGAGACCATTGCTGTGTGTTATAT